GCTGACAAGAGCAATTTAAGTACCTGCTTCCTTTTCCAGCAATGAACTCTCCAGCTTTTTCTTTTATTCATTCACCTCAAGGATTCTAGTGGTGTTGCAAATTCACAATTTTCTAATCAAGCTGAAGTTCATTAGTGTCCCCCAGTTGGGTTGAAGTCGTTCCACTATAAGTAAATCGATTCACGATTACCTGGTAATCATGGACATATTGAATCCAGGGTTTCTGACTTTAAGGACAAGAACTCTTGACAAAAGCCTAAACCCCAGGCTTTGCTTACATGCCAAGGTAAACTCATCTCATTTTCCTAAGACTTGGCTTCCAAGCTCTCAAGTAGGGATACTAATCTCTGACCATCTCAAATAGTGTCCTTCAGACAAGCCTCAGGAATGCAGGGGCATAGCTTCATCCTGATGCTCCAGACAGATGGAAATTGAAAATTAAGTCAATGAGAAGCAGCATCATCTGTGTCTGTCCACTTACAGAGAGCCCATCTGCCTCAGGCTCCTGGAGCTGAGTGAGTTTCTTCCAGAAGGAAAAGAAAGTAGCACAGGAAAGTTCAGCTGGGGATGACAGATTTGGCAATGCCTGCGCCCCACGTCAGGTCCTCTAGCTGGATAGAACAGTTTCTAAATGTGTTACTGCACAAGAGGGACTGAGTCTGAGACAAGTTCTCTTATGTCAGGGGAAGAAGGGGTGAGGTGGGGAAATCATACTGCCCAGAGCAAGCCCATTGTAAGCCAGTTATCACCGGCATCTCAGCCCCTTTCCCTACACCATAAGACCCTATCTAAAGAAACTTCTCCAAGGGTGCAGAGTGTGAACCATGCCTGGACAGGAACATGTGCATTGTGAGTGCTAGATTTTAGTCATTCATTCATTCAACAGTTATTTGCTGAGCGCTCCAGGGGGCTGTATAATGATTAGTGCCACCTAGCTACTACAGGGAAGGCTGGTGGCAGGGTGATCGTTTGACTTTGGTATTGACTTTAAACTCTTTTCACTATAACCTGCTCAGCTACCAGCATGAAGTGTTCAACGAGCACCAAGTAAATGGATGTAATGAAAATGGGAGGGACAGTTTTGTTTTATTGTGTTGTTGTTGCTGTCTTTGTTTTTCCTGGCCACGCATTTTTTATTCCGTTCCTCGCTCTGTTCTCTACAGTGCTTGGGGCATGGGAGTAGGGAGGAAGAGAAAATTCCCCAGATGAAGACTGGCAGATGTAGCTGAAGGGCCCCCGGGACTCCAGTAGCAAGAGAAAATGAATAGCAGAGTCCAAGGCTGTTATTTCAAAAAGTGGTTCATGGTAGCTTTGTCAGCAGAATCTTAAGGGAGAAACCAGGCATATTTATTCTGTCTCTTTCTCTCTCTCTCTCTACCACCTCCTATCTCTCTCTTAACTCTGTCTCTGCTTGCCTATCTATCTATCATCTACTGGAATACCTTCTCACTTATTTATCTACTGTGTCTACCCCTACCTCTCCTTCATTCCCTGGTTCTTCTAAGTCCCAGAAGACAGAAATATGGAGGTCTTAAACATAATCAGGGAGAAGTTGGCCTTCATGAGAACTCAGCCCTAATTCCTAACTTAGCCCTAATTCCTGCCACTCTTGAGGTCTCTTTGCTGAGAATATGAATTAAGTCATCTTAGAGAATAGATCTTCCATGATCTTATTATAATCTTACTTTCCCTGTCTTGGTGTTGGAGGGGGAGAATGTAGTTCCAGCAGTGAAGCAACCCCACGATCCTACCCTCAAAAGGACGTGGTTTCATTATTCTGTAGCTGGAACACGGGGCAAAGGGGGCATTTCCCTCTGAGGTCTCAAAAGGCCAGGCTCTTACTTCTAGCTCTGCTCCCATCTCCCTCTGATCTGGAAGCAGACTCCTTACTGCCTCTGGCTCTCAGTATCCTCCTAGCTAAAATGGGTGAAGTTGCTGGCATTGTACACATCATCTCGTGAAATCGTTGCAACAACACTGGGTAGATATATTATTACCTCCCTTTCTTTTCATGGATGAGAAAATAAAGTTCAGAGAGGTTAGGTTATTTAAGTCCTGTACAGCTTATATATGACAGAGCTAGGATCTGAACCTGTGCTTTTTGCGATTCCCTTGATTGAATTTCAAAAGAGTAACATCTGGATGAACGGCTGGTCACTCTGGGATCCGGTCTACATTTTATCATATATTAAGTTGGCCCCGTTCACCAAGAGGTTGGAGCTACTGGGAAGTGCTGAGTCTGTCTTCTCTGCATCCTTGAGCTGCCGGGCATGCTACTGGCCACTGGAGTCCTCAGCTGGCTCAGATGTATCCTTAAATAATTGAATTATAATGAATTGATTTATTCTGGCTCTTTTGATAGTGTTTCACTATATAAACTGTTTGCTGAAATAAATAAGGGATTTTGGAGCTTGGAAGGGGCTCAACATTCTGCTGCCCCTAAATTCATAGACTCCTTTTTCAGATAGTCAGCATCCTAGAATTCCAAGTTTTAATTCTACTTGACCCTGGCTCTTTCTGGGGGTGGGGGGGGGGCGGGCTGCCACACAGAGTGTTTTAGGTGAATACTGATTTCACAAGGTGAGTTCAGTCAGCTAGAAATAAATTGACCCCTTAAAAGAAGAATATTTTTTTTTCTCTTGACTGTTATTCTAAAATGTACAAAGCATGTTTATGTCCACGTCCTATGAGAGTTTTGTGGGTATCCTGAGAGGTTTTTCCTGGCTGGGGCAATCATTCCTTTCTTTTCGTTTTGTTAAAGTATAATTAACATACAATGTTATTTCAGTTTCAGGTGTACAACATACTGAGTCAACAATTCCGTACGTGACTCAGTGCTCACTGTGATAAGTGTAGTCACCATCTGTCACCATACAACATTACTACAGCGTTTAGGACCATCCTTTTTGTATTACAGATGGAAAGCCAGAGGCTGAAAGGTGAAGCTAATTGTGCAAGGTTAGATAGCCAATAAGAGGGACAGAAGTCAGCTCCTGATCAGAAACGGGGCTCCACTCTATGGTTTTAGAGTATATAGGAGAAGGATGTCCTAGGCCAAGCAGTATTCTTAGGATGACTCTATGTTCTGATATGCCTGGGATGTTCAGATTTTCCCTGGAAACATGCCTTTTGCCTGGACGTAGTTTCTTATAGCATCTCCATCACTAGTTTGGATGATGACTTTAGGCTCACCCGAAGACACCTCGTAGGGACCAGATTTCAAGAAGCTCCGTCTTTCAGAACAGCTGTAGTGTGTAGGTAGGTCGGCACAGTTAAGTGTTGGGCTAGGGATCTTCACAAAATAGGAGCCCACACAGAAAGGTGTATTCAGTTTTTCCCAGAAGTATTGGGAAAAGAGCACAGACGACCTGATATTTGAGTTATTAACAGATGAGCAGAGGACTGTTTTTCAGACAGCCGCGTTCTGATTTCTCCTGATATTGATCGGTGCTGAAACAGCGAGCCACGTGCATGGCTCCTTCCTCCTTGGAAGGCATCTGTCAGCTCCAGGCTTCCATGATCTGTGTCCTGGCTGCCAAGAGTCACCGTGGCCCGCTGCATTTCTAAGTTGTCCCTGCTGTGATTTGAATTACGTGGGAGCTTGAGAACTCACTTGGCCTTTAAGTTTAACTACCAAGCCCTGAGGAGCCTGGGCCAGCAGACAGGAAGGGCTCCCGGACACTGGGCACGCTGACCCTCTTATCTCATTGAGCCCAGAGGGGAAAAGAGATTTGTCATTTTTTTTAAAAGATTTTATTTATTTATTTGACAGAGAGAGAGACAGCAAGAGAGGGAACACAAGTAGGGGGAGTGGGAGAGGGAGAAGCAGGCTTCCCGCTGAGCAGAGAACTGGATGGGAGCTCAATCCCAGGACCCTGGGATCATGACCTGAGCTGAAGGCAGACGCTTAACGACTGAGCCGCCTAGCCGCCCCGAGATTTGTCTTAAGTACCAGAGCAGTTGAGTTAACAGAGCTGGGAATGAAGCCAGTTAGGTTACACGGAACTCTCTTTGGAGTTCAGTAAACCTCAGTTTGCCACTGTGAAGTTCTGTGGTGTCAGATGATATACCCAGGACTTGGAAAAGGTGAAAGCCTGAATTTGAAACTACGATCTGGCATGAATACACCATGTGACTTTGGGCAAGTTATTGTTTTTTTTTAAAGATTTTATTTATTTATTTGAGAGAGAGAGAGTGAGTGCACATGAATTGGGGGGAAAGGCAAAGAGAGAGGGAAAAACAGACTCCCTACTGAACAGGGAACCCAAGTGAGGCCATCCCAGCACCCTGGGATCATGACCTGAGCCAAAGGCAGATGTTTAACCCACTGAGCCACCTGGGAGCCCCAGCTTTGGGCAATAGTCCTAATCTGGAGGACTGAAAAAATTAGAACAGTAAAGCCTTTGTCATAAGGTGGCTGTGGTGCTCACTTGGGGTTTGTGTTTGTGAATGTGTGTGCTCGAACATATGTAGTACAAGATAGACGCTCTAAATTTGCAAGTATGCATATACTCAATATAACCATGTATTGGTATATATGCATATGCTCAATATATATGCATATCCTCGATATAACCATAAGCCCAGGTTAGCCAGAAGTTTAACGATGTTTTACATCGTCTTGTATAACGGCAACCTTATACCCACTGAACAGTAACTCTCAATAATTTCCCCCTCCCCCCAGCCCCTGGCAACCACCTCTGTAGTCTCTCCTCCTGTGAGTTTCACTACTTTCTAGTCCTCATTCAAGTGGAATCATCCACTAGTAGACCCTTTTGTGTCTGGCTTACTTCACTTAGTATCATGTCCTACAGGTTCATCATCTTGTCACAAATGGCGGGATCTCCTTTTTAAGGGTGAATAATAATCCCTCATGACCCTGATGACGGGCTTTACAGTGCTGATAATTGTGCTGGTTTCATCCCACTACTGTGGATTTCAGCTGAGACCAAAGAACAAATATCTATCTGTTCTCTTCCTTCTCTGTCCATCTCCTGCAGATGAACCTAGCCGGTGCTATTTCCATGATGGTGATGGTGTGTGTGAGGAGTTTGAACAAAAAACTAGCATCAAGGACTGTGGGGTCTACACACCCCAGGGGTTCCTGGATCAGTGGGCATCCAATGCTTCAGTTTCGCATCAGGACCAGCAGTGTCCAGGCTGGGTCATCATCGGTCAGCCAGCAGCCTCCCAGGTAAGCTCCCAGCCAGGTGTGACATTTCCTACAGATGTTCTGTGTCTCTGCTCTGTCCTGCCAGGCTGCCATCCTCAAATGTAATGTCACTGGATGTGGCCCCCTGACTGTATCTCAAACCCAGTGTAATCTCTGGACCTCATGAGTACCATTTGTCAGGGATGAAACATGGATGGTTAAATGCAGGGACTGTGAGCATAGTATGGTAAAGCCTGTCCTCCTGTTTCTCTACCTGTTATAATTCATATTTGGTGAAAGAATTCCACTTTGGATACACCACTGGAACTCAATGGGGTAAGATCAAATTCTTTGGGGGGGAGTCCGGTTTTTTTTTTTTTTTCCCTCCCTTGGAGGAGGCTGCTGAGTTGTATGCTCTTTGAATACTCACCTGTGAATTAACTCTATCATGAATTTGCTATGTGGCCTTGAGTTAATCTCCCCACTTCTCTGGGCCTCATTTTTCCCCATCTTTAAGTTAGAGGGTAGTTGAATTTGATGATCTCCAGGGACCTCCCCACTCTAAAAAGCTGTGACTCACTCCTCAGTGCCCTAATGCACTATTTATGTTCCAGGATTCTTGCCCCAGGGGTCTGCCAGGTTTAGTTGAGGGAACAAGAGATTGGGGCCACCAGCGCTTGTGTGATTCTAGGGATGGCCGTGGTGTCCCCAGGGCCCCCTTTCCAATTATCCTGGTGAGCAAGCACCTGCCTTCTTCCGAGACTCCCATTTCCCAGAGACACGACTCAGTGCTTCCAACTGCCTGGCCCAGTGGCCATCTCAGAGGCCAACCTGCTCTTGGCCTTGCAGATGAGTCATGATTCCCAGCCATTCCTCTCTTGCGTTGCTTCCCTGACTCGGGCTGGATGGGCAGGGAGGGGGGGTGGTGGTTCTTTAGACGAAAGAGAGACGCAACCTTCCTCTGGGGCCCAGTGAAAAACCCCTTTACAAGGTACAAGATAGGTCCACCTCATTTATAAGTCACAGTGTTTCTTTAGCCATTTTCTCATTTGTCTGTTTGCTTGTGTTTATACACATTAGATTATTTACATGTTTGCATTTGTTTCTGACTGCCCTAAGTCAGGTGGAAGGGAGTTTGGCTTAGTGCCAGCCCGGTGAATGAATGAATCAAGGAACGAATGAAGAAGTGGGTGTCTAGGGTTCATCCTCCCCGTGCCATCTCTGTACTTGCTGAATTCCTCTTTGGTTGCACCTGTCACTTGAACCTGAATTACCTGTGTGCACCTCTCGCTCCCCCTAGGCTGCTTGTTCTTGGAGAACAGCTTTGGGTTACATTCATTTTTGTCTCTTCTTCAAGCACGGGCCTGACAAGACGAGATGCTCCAGAAACATGTGTTTAATTGACTATTGACTGACTGTCGATGCATGCATGCGTGCACACGTGTGTGTGTGTGTGTGTGTGCATGCACGTGCACACACACACACACACACACACACACATACATGCAAATGAGCACCACCAAACGAGGATGCTAGAGCATCACCTCTCTGTGGCACAGAAGGTCCTGCTCAGGAACAGCAGGGCCTGCCAGCAATAGCGCCAGGAATTCCCAATTCAGCACTAGCAGCCGGTTCTAGAAATGTTTAAAAAACGTCATTCAAACAAGGGAATTAACACACTGGGAATCTCACATGAGCAAGAGCTGAGGTAGCAGCTGTGTTTCAAAACCACCCCAAGTGTTATTATGGCCGCTAAAGTAAGAGAAAGGAGAGAAGGAACTGTCCAGCCTTAGCATTCGAAAGCAGACTTCACCGGGCAATTATTCCAGTCCTGTAAGGAGGGGCTGTCAGGAATTATGGGTGATTATCTCTTCCTAAACAAAAATCCAATTTCAAAAAATCATTATAAATACTAGCTCTTCGATCTACAAAGAGGAGATGAGGAAACAAAATCATCCTATTGAATTATTCATTGTAACCAATTTTATTTTAATGAAATCGACTAGGTTCCATTACTCTGGGCTTGGACATAATCTTTGTTACAAGGAGACTTCAGCTGTAACTAAATTTGCCATAATGAGATCAGCTCGCTGGAGAATACAGGGTCAGGGGAGGGGGTGTGTTGCCGGCTGGGTGCAGGGTCAGGCAGGCAGCCTGGAGGGCGGCAGAACAAAAGTCTCCTGAATTCCCTCGACTGAAAGCAAATGCCTAGAAGTCACTCACGCACTGTCCCCCCCACAACCCCGCCATGCATAGTGATGCCCGTGCACGGGTGCACAGACAAACAGCCTGTGTGATTCTGGGTGAGGTTCTCCCTGGAGTGTAAAGGTGGCTCCCTTCTGACCGCATGGAAGAGGAGGACATTTGACTGTGGCCTTCATTATTACCCTGGGCACTGATTAGAGGAGGCTGCTGGTTAATTTTCACCCAGTCAGGGCTTCCAGTGAAGAGGTTGATGGCTTGAAAGAAGGAGCTGTAAGGTTCTTAGAGGCACCACGTGCCCCCGATGCAATTAACCATCTCCTTTTCCTCTTCCTCCTTTCTTTGTCTGTCTCTCTTACACACACATGAATGTGCTTGCACACATACATGAAATTCCCATGTAGGGCCCTGGGTCCCAGGGAGAGTGGAAGGCGGTGCAGGGTCATGGGGGTGTACTGGCCATTACATTGGATCCTCCCATGCTCCACAGCCAAGCCCCTCTCTTGGAGACACTGAGAGGCAGAGTGCCTTCCCCAGAGCCACACAGCCCAGAAAGAAAGACTCTAAGATTAGGATCTTGTAGAAGATGCCAGTGAGATTGGGAATATGCAGTCATCCCTGTAAGTCAGAAGTCAGTGGACACCTGGGAAACTACACTGGACAACAAGCAGGGAGAAATGCAGCTGGGTAGATCTTATTGTTGCTGTCACTGTTCAAATGCCCTGAGGCACTTGGATTCTCCTCTAGCAGACTCCTGGGCACTGCCCATACCTCTGAGTTCGGGCTGTTCCCACTCCCTTCCAGGCAGACTGTTCTGAGGTCCCCTGGTGGGTATTCACTAGGACACTCCTTTAACTTCGGGGGAGGGATGAAGGGACCACAGTTGTTCTTTGTTCCTCTTTACAAGCCTGTTTTGTCCTACTCTCTGTCACTCCCCCTGATGCTATAAACATGGTAAAGGCAGGTGTTTGTAGGATAGGTGCCTACCTCTGTGCCACAACCTTCGGGAAAAACCAGAGAGTGGAAGAACCAGCCTCCAGGCTTGTGAGGTGTGAGAATTCTATCAAGAGGAGTGGCCCCATCAGAACAAGCTGGCAGATTCTTGCTGGGATGGCCCAGAGCCACACTCATCATGCTTCGTGAGTCTGGAGAACTGCTAAAAACTTGAGTTTCAATTCTGTAAAAGCTCTTAGCGTCTAATAATTTCCAGTCTCTTGCATGTCCATTCTCCTCCAACAAGATCCCCAAATTTGGTTAGGGCTACGCTACTCCACCCCAAGCCCTGAGTCATGTATCCAGACGTTATCAGAGCCATCAGAACTTCCAGTGTGCAAACTGGGCTGAACACCCTCTCATAAGAGACATTCTTTGGATATTTTGGCCACGCACCTTCCCGGCCCAGCTGGAATTCAAGAAGTCCCTGAGACAGAACAAAAATGGAAATGAACCGAAGGAATCAAGTTATTTCTCTTCAGGGAACCTCAGAAATGGTTTGGGTTAAGTGCTTGCAAAAATTTCATCTTGTCCTAATTTTGTCTCCATGTTTTGCATTTCTCTAGTACTTTACACCATAGGCTGCCAAAATGAGATGTAGATATTGCTTCCTCCTGCCCCCGCCCCCACCGTTTCTACCCCAGCCCGTTTCCTCCTATCTGGACAGGCACCCCCCTCCTTCTGCAGTGGCCTAAGGAGGAAATGGAAATACTGACTATCTGGAATGCACAGGGCTCTCCAGGGATTACAGACCTTCAGTCATCCAACCAATTTATTTGGTTAATCCTTTGAGGGTAAAGCTTAGACCAAGCTTTTCCAGGGCAGTAGTTTCAGGGCCAAAATAAAGAAAACCTTTCTAAGAACGAGAAGCATCCACAGGGGGTCGGAGTGCTGTGTGATCTACTAAGCTCACCACAGTAAGGCGTTCAGGCTGAGCTGGTGGTCGAATGGGAGATCCTGGCCTTAGAAGGCCGGTGAGAGTCTAGACATCTCTCCTTCCTTTGAAATCGATTCTCTGACTTTCTGTTCCATCAGTGCGTCATTGGCCACATCGGTTCTTTGCCACTTTACCTTGAGTTGCTATGACCAGCTTCTAGGCACGTTCATAATGCTTTAGGCCTCCATTAAAATAACAAATCATAATTTGTCTTGAATTATGTATTAATTCTCTTATTCATTGGCCTGAGCAGGAATCTATTTGAATCTTACACTGTTGAACATGAGTAGGTAAAGAGGGTGGGAGTTCATGGAAATCATGGGACTGTGGCTTTGCCCTCTTCACCCCTCCTCTGACTTGGGAACCTTGAGCAGATGACTCCTGGGAACTTTAGTTTCCTCTTTTGGAAAGTGGGAATGACAGCGTCGACCTGGTGGACATTGAGAGAATAAATGTAGAGAAGACATCTAGCACCGTCCCCGCCCCCCACTTACTGGGTAGTTCAGATGTTAATTCTCTGTCCAGCTCATGTAAGGCTTCTCCCCCTCCCCCTCCCCCAGAGTCCACAGGGACCCACCCTTCTGTAGAAGCTCAGTCAACATTCCCTTAAGTTAGACGTTGTGTTAGCGCGTGTCTCCTGCAACCTCAGGACCATACCAGGCATGTTAAGAAACTCCAGAGAGGCGCTGGTCCTTTTGCTGCCCTCAGAGGGCTCACCATTTCATTGGAGGGGTGTGTCCGACTACAGACAGCAGCCAAAGACCCAGGAGTGGGAATCAGAGGGAGTTTCCCTGAGGAAGAAACCACAGTGCTATCAGCTTACTCAGCCATCAGGGATGAGAGCCAGCAAGTGGGGAAGGAAAAGACCTTCGCCCACTTTCCGAAGACCTTGCACAAATTATAAAAATAA